CTATATTGACCATAATTTTTACCATGAGCGTCACTATCAAACGTTATAGCATTATATCCTTCTTGATATAATCATGGTACTAATTTTAATGCTAAATATTTATTTTCCGTTCAACCATGAAAACCAATAACTCATTTATCGCTTTTCTCTTTTTGAATGACATTTAAGCAACTAATGTAATGATTATAATTCTTAATGATAAATTTTCTATAACTCCCTTTTTTTATTAAATTGGATAACCATGTTTATAAGGTTCCTTAATTTGACAGTCATAGTCATGATAATCAAAACCATTAATATCAACCATTTGTTTGTTCTTTGCATTAAATTTACCCTCTTCTTGATCAGAAAACCTAAATTCGAAAAATTGTATTTGAACGTACTTGTCTAACCTCTTAAGGAACAAGTTTAAATGAATTTGATTTAGCATGTAAAATAGAAGCTGAAAACAATGAAGAAATGAATATTAGTCAATATACTAATTTAGACGAAAGTTTACATTTTATGTTAAATATTAAATTATTACCTTATCGACAGGAAATTGCAAAATTGGTATTAGTGGAAAATATTAATCGTTTAAATCCTTTAACCAACGTTGGTTCAGGAAATATAAATTTATCACAAATGGCACGAATTTTATCTGGTGGTGAGTAACAAAGAACTCGATTAGCAACTCAAATTGGTTCACAATAAATGGTATTACTGTATGTCCTCGATGAACTTTCAATTGGTTCACATCAACATGAAATTATCTATGTTAAGTTAAATGAAGCTTTAAAACAAATGCAGGATCTTGACAACACATTATTAGTACCAAAACACAATGAAGATACAATGTGAGGATCATACTGATTAATTGATACTGGTCTGAAAGCTGAAATTTATGGTGGTGAAGTAAGTGCTGAAGGCACACCACAACAAGTCGCTAGTAATCACAATTCCATTACTGAGCAATATATAAATGGTGAAAAATTTGTTGCATTACCTAAATTAAGAAGAATTTGTAATGTTATCTTAGTGTTCAACGAGTTCTTCTAAATTCTCTTGATAAATATGAGCAGTATTTATGATAAATTCTCCCTTGTATTTTATAATAAAAATGTACTTCAGGCTCTCGATTTTTACGTTCTCTTCCCAAATTTCGCTAACATTTACCTGTTTATATTAATCAGCTGCTGGCGGATCATAACTTGACCTTCCTTCATACGTTCTTTCCGTTCTAAAGGTCCAATTTTACGTAAAATCTTACATTTACCTTTTAAAGTAGCCAGTTTTTCAGGATTAATTTCTGGTTTTCCTTTCACTTACTTTCTGTACTCATGAATACTTCTCCTCTCGTGATTCCTTATGTAAAGTATGCTTTTGACAATATTCACAATATTTTCTTAATTCAATGCGCTCCTTATATTTAATCTTCTTTTTGTACGCGTGATAATTACAATTTAAACGTACTCTACAAATAAAAATTATTTTTTCGTTCATTAAATTTACCTAGAAAATTTACTCACTTTTAAATTTACAATTATTTAAAATAAGTGTCAACTCTAAAATACTTTGGTTTGAAGACAAAGTTAAATTTTTAATTGTTATTTAAAATTTATCGTCTCTAAAGTAATTGTTCGAGAGAAATTATCATAGTAAATAGAAAATATTATTTGAAAGATACTATAATATGAAAACAATTTTCACTGACTATTAGTACTTTCTAAATGTGGCTGTATTTCATTGGGTTATATGACAACTTCTGTCATATCATTATTAGCATTTGCAACGTAATCTTGCTCAAACTCTTAATCACGAATTTTCAATTTCAGTCTATCTTTTACATTTTCACATTCTGCCGTAACTAATTCTACCTTTTTATTTTGAGAAGTATAATTATCTATTCATTCCTAAAACTTTGTCAATGTTGGTATTCAACCTTTTATTTTCCCAGGTTTAACAAAACTAGAAATCGTTTCACCTGAATGCTTCATTTCAAATTTACGTCAATGATTTCCTTCCAAATATTCATATACTTCACCTGAAACATTACTGCTTATAATACCTTTACATAAATAAGAACTTTTTGCAATATGTTCTTTTCTTTCATTAACAAATGTATTAATAGTTTCTTCTTCACTACTTGAAGTATTAGATGTACTTGTTGCTGAAAAACATGTATAACTAACATACAGCACTGCTGAAATTGACATCAAATTGCCTCCTACAAAATTACCATTTGTAAAATTAGGACCAGCAGTTGCAAAGGTAGCAAGAGACCTTAAGTATTCAATAATTGCTGTTACTTTCTGGAACAAACATAAATCGAGACCTGATAATCCACTAAGTGCTTTCACTAATCCGTTTATACCAATAAATCATTTACTTAATGCATCAGAAACCATTTCTGTAGTTATTCCATTAATTACAACATTTCCTGTTAATTGTTCAACAATTGCATAAAGTTCATTATTTGGTGATTAAGTAGGAAAAGAAAGTAAATTTGCTTCTGTAGTTGTAATACCACAAGTTTCATTTAAAGTATATGCTAGTCAAATAATCCAACCACCAAATGCTGCATATAACGTATCAGCTACTCCGCTTTAAATTAACTGATAACGTTTTTCATTATTAGTATCTCTGGTAATTTCCTTAAGTCCTGCTATTTTGAGTAGAACACCTGCTGTCATATTAGTTCAATTTTTTGCGCTTAAAGCTCCGGCACTAATTGGACTAAGAAGATTATTCAAAGCTCTTTGTTCTTTCGTGTTTCTTCTTTATTCGTCTTCATTTCATTAATTCCTTCTCTAATTAAAGTGGTTTTATGGTGAATAAATTCCTACGTCATTGATTTATCAAGACTTCTTTATGAAATTAAACTTTTTATTTTAATGACAAAATCATTCATAGTAATTTATTAATAATGTCACTAATTCTTCATTTGCTAATTTTTATTGAGACAGACGGTCCATTTTCCCGACATTTTAAGCCCTTGCCTTTCAGACGGGCTTAAAGGTGCACGCTCTAGAAGATGGAGTCCATATTTAAGGTAGTCTTAGAGAGAGTCAAGATCGAGAATTGTGATTTCGAGAGTTGCGAGTTATTGAG